TCACTGTGTCAATAATGTCAAACTGTGGAATGTCCTTGGGAAAATGAGAATCCTAGAACATCTCACTGTCCTCATGCAAATCTTAGGTATAAATTAAGAAGCCACCGTCCAGATAGAACACAGCAAAGCACACTGTCTGCAGATCAGCAAAGGAATTCAATATATCTGCTTAGAATAAATGGAGGAAAGTTGGATTTTAAGAAGTTGAATGTGGTTTTAAAACTGGAGGTAAAACATCAATAACCTGCACTATGCCGATGATATTATAGTGATTGCTGAAAATACAGGTGATTTACAAGGTCCAGCAATGAAAAATGAAGTGAATATTAAATATAAGCAAAGCCAACTAATAATAACAGATACAACCACTGACTATGCAATTGATAATGAAGTTGTTAAAGTGATGTCTACTTCTGCCTTTTAGGACCAACGGTATTTCCCCAAAAATAAGACCCTGTCTTATATTTTTTTGAACCTCAAAATAAGTGCTTGGCCTTATTTTCAGGGAGATCTTATTATTTTGGGGCGCATGGAGCAAGATGGGGCTCCGCTTGCCATCTTATCTGATTTCCAGCTCTGAGTTTAAATATTTTCGGAGAGGACTTATTTTCAGGGGGGGAGGCTTATTTCAGCGCATGTGCTCAAAAGCCTGATTGGGCTTATTATCAGGGGATGTCTTATTTTCAGGGTAACAGGGTATCACTTATACTGTAAAAGAATATAGTAAGCCATCAAGAAATACACAACAGATTAGGGCACTAACTTCTGAAAAAAAAGAGTTGGTGACAAAAAGAGATGGCCTATGAGACAACAAAAAAATCTAATAGAATACTTAGGACTTTATCAGACAATTTCAAAACAATTACAATAAATGTTGGAAAGAAATAAAACAAGATGTTGAAATGTAGAAAAACTGAAAACTTTCTAAGCTGGGATTTATTGTGACAATAAAAATGAATATATTACCTTAAACAGAATGAATATATAAAAATCAATCAACCTATCAATTCAGCAATCTCACTCAAGGGACCAGCAATCAGGTTCAATTTATCATAGTTTGATCACATTACAGAAATATTAACTCTCTTGAGAAATCCATTAGTCTGGTAATAGCAATAGCGCTTAGACTTGTATACCACTTCTTAGTGCTTTTACAGCCCTCTCTAAGTGGTTTACAGAGTCAGCACATTGCCGCCAAATAATCTGGGTCCTCATTTTACTGGCCTTGGAAGAAAGGAAGGCTGAGTCAACCTTGAGCCAGTCAAGGTTCAAACTCCTGCAGTGGAAGACAGAGTAAGCCTGCAATACTGCATTCTAACCACTGCGCCACCATGGTTGAAGGAAAGTAGAAGGAAAGAGGAAAAGGTGATTAACAACAAGGTGGATGAGTAGGTGGATTTGTAGAAGCAATGGGTACTCTTGAAAGAACTGAAGAACCAGGTTGAGGAAAGGTTATTTGTTATGTGATTGCTAAGTTTGAATGCCAACCTGATGAGATATAAAAATCAGATTACCTACCCTTGTTCTAGATCCTTTAAGGACATTATTCCATATATTTATACATTTACATATACATACAGACTGTAGTAATGAATACATGAAAGTTTAACAGGCGCTTGCAAAACTCAAGTGAAAAAAAATGGCGCTAATATTAAATATAAGCAAAGCTTTGGTAAAGAACAGAATTGATTCTCTTCCTTAGTTAATGAAAAAAGGAAACAAACCCACTTTAACTTTCATTTTTTCCATAGGAAATGGAAAGCTTGGAAGAATGCTGAGATAAAATGTTAAAAACTAAATCAAGTAAGGAAAATCCCCCCAAAAAAGTTAAGATCAGCACCTCTGCTCTTGTAACACACCCTATGTAAGAAATGAATCTGTTTTCTAAGGTAATTAATTATACGAAACCATAATTAACCAAACAGCTCTTGTTCCTAATACACCCTAAGCCATACACAGATTCAGAAGGTTGGACCATCCATAAATAGTTACACAATGCTACTTTGAGGTAGGCAGAATGAGGATCAAGGAAACCAAGTACTAATCTCAATTCAAGCAGGTTTTTTTTTTTCCTGCATGTTGGGTCTTTTATTTCTCTTTACCTTTATCCACTTCACAAAGCTACTATGGAGCCAAAAAAAAAATACAACTGCTGCTGTGTCCCAATAAATGTCTCATATATATTTATATATAAATATAACATTTTTGCATATAGTGGAAGAAAACACTAGGAATACTATTGTTCAATGGATTCAGCTTCTGAGTGGCCTTTAAGAGCAGTATCATACGGAGTGCATTGCAATAGTACACAGTTAATTAAAGTGTGCATGATTATAAGTAACGACACCAAATCCAGAAGAATTAGAAGCACATAACCACTTGGTTTTGTCAGGGCTGAGTTTAATCCTTTCCATCCTGATCCCAAAGTCCCCAAGACTTTGGAGACCCAGCCTTGATAGCATTACCAACAGAGTGGCCTTGCCCCATCTTTAAAACAATGTAAACTGATGGAACTAAGGAAATATCCCTTCTCCGTTGCAGTACCTGCCCTCTAGAATTGTGTTTCTCCAACCACAAAAAAAGTTAGAGTACCCTGCTGCCCTTTAAAGCAGGGGTCTCCAACCTTGGCAATTTTTAAGACTTGTGGACTTCAACTCCCAGAATTCCTCAGCCAGTTGGTTGAGGAATTCTGGGAGTTCAAGTCCACAAGTTGTTGCCAAGGTTGGAGACCCCTGCTTTAAAGGGGCCCTGAAGTCCTGACTCTTTCTCCAGGTGATGGGAGAGAAATATAAGCCTTCTAAGGAAATTATATGAATGAGTTGGCTATGTTGATCCCGAGATTATTAACCTCTTTTTTTTTTTTACCTGCGTGTGCTTTTATTGTGCTTTTATTGTGTGAACGACTAAAGAATCATTATGAGTTGGGTGGCCTTATCAGTGGTGGGTTTCAAAAAATTTTACTACCAGTTCTGTGGGTGTGGCTTGGTATGGCTTGGTGGGCATGGCTTGGTGGGTGTGACCAGGGAAGATTACTGCAAAATCCCCATTTCCTCCCGATCAGCTGGGACTTGAGAGGCAGAGAATAGATGGGGGCGGGGCCAGTCAGAATTTTTACTACCGGTTCTCTGAACTACTCAAAATTTCCGCTACGGGTTCTCCAGAACTGGTCAGAACCTGTTGAAACCCACCTCTGGGCCTTATAAATCAGTAAACTAAGATCTGCTAGGAAAGCATGGGTGGGCCTGATGTTTGAGGTCTTCCTCAGCAGAATCGGATGGAAGATTCTGAAATGCAATCAGTTTACCAAGGGAAATAATGTAGTTATTTAATGCCAGTTAAAATGACCTAAAATTACCACTACAGGGTAGTCCATGACGTACAACTGTTCATTTAGTTACGATGGCTCTGGGGAAAAAGTGGCTTATGACTGTTTTTCATACTTACGACCATTGCAGCATCCCCTTGGGCACATAGTCAAAACTCGGACGCTTGGCAACAGGCAAGTATTTATGATGGTTGCAGTGTCCCGGGATCATGGAATCACCTTCTACGACCTTTTGACATACAAAGTCAGATTCCTTTAACAACCAAGTGATTCACGTAACAACTGTGGCAAGAAAGGTTGTAAAATGGGAAGAAAACTCACTTAGCAACTGATTCCCTTGGCAACCTAAATTCAGGGTTCAATTATGATCAAGGATTTCCTGTACGGTACTACTCTTTTCTTTTTTTTCTTTTCTTTTCTTTTCTTTTTTTTTTTTTTTGCTTTAATTTATATGCCGCCCTTCTCCGGAGACTCAGCGCGGCTTACAATGCGTTAAGCAATAGCCTTCATACTTTTGTATATTTATACAAAGTCAGTTTATTGCCCCCACAATCTGGGTCCTCATTTCAACCACCTTTGAAAGGATGGAAGGCTGAGTCAACCTTGAGCCTGGTGAGATTTGAACTTGCAGTAATTGCAAGCAGCAGAGGTTAATCTGTTAATAACAGTGCTTTAGTCCACTGTACTACAGGCTCTTCTATTTCAAGTCAGACCTTGTTTGTAGCTTGACGAGCAGACGCAGCCCAATGTGAAACAATGTGAAGTGAGGCAAAGAGTGCAACACTTTTACTTGGCTTTGTAGAAGAATTGGCCACACCACTTCATGAAGCAACTTCCAACTTTACCCCAAACACCATTGCCTCTGACGATCCCAGCTGAGTTGCCTGATCGGCAGAGGCAGCCTCTGCTGATCAGGCAACTCAGCTGGGATCGTCAGAGCCTTTTGAAAGCATCTTTTTACCACCTCTTCACCGAAGAGGCTGTAGAAAAATATGGTTTTAAAAGTTTTTTTAAAAAAATTGGCCATGCCCACCCAGTCACATTAACCGCCCCCACCAAGCCACGCCCACAGAACCAGTAGTAACAAATTTTAGATTTCACCACTGTCTTTGATGCTTTGGGTCACACTACCAAATATGTATGCTATACAGTATACCAGTGGCCCCCAAGCTTTTGGGCATCAGGGACCAGTTCTGTGGAGAGAGGTTTTTCCATGGACCAGAGGGAGCGTGGTTTCGTGTGCTGTCTGCACCCCGCAGATGGGGCTTTGCTTGTTTGTATGGCCCAATTTCTGGCATGCCGCGCATGGTGCCACTCCAAGGACCGGGGGTTGGGGACCCCTGCTTTATAAAATTAAAGAAGCCTCGTTCCCCCTCTCCCAGCCATTACTCTTTCCCTTCTACAACCCCACTATAGGAACACAGCAGAAAACCCTTCTCCAAAAAGATAATTTAATATGAGATTTCCTTTTTTTTTTTTCTTCATTCACGTAGAGACAGAAGATTAAACGTTGTTAACGTCATCACCCACACAAGTTTTGCATTGCACATGGGTGGATGGTATAAATAATATATAAACATAAACATAAACATAATATATGTTATGTTTATATATATATAAACATATATACACATACATGTTCATACATATATAAAACCAAAGTGATTATGCTCACATTCCCTATATACAAAGCAGTCTAGAAACAGGAATTCTCTCCTATTCTCCAAGTAACAAAGACAAATAATAAAGTGCAAGGATTCACCCACTTTTTCTACTTTGCCTATTGTGATTTTTGCCTTGGATTCTTTCAAACGTACGTAATGTGCTAGATTGGTTTCAAACAGAGGACTGCAATACGCAGTGATTAAAGGGGGGGTTCAGAGGTCAATCGCTTCTGAGCCACTTGTTTAATCAGAGAAGGCCTTATAACCCGATAGCAAAGCATTTGCTATGAAGCTGGAGGCTTAATCACTAAAATCTTTCCAGTAGGAGTAATGTCAGGCTTCTTGTGAATTTGGAGAGCTACATTTGAAACTTCTTGACAGGCTGATGGCCCAGACACTCCGGTTTCTGTGCGGTGCTATTTTTATAATTTAATCCATCAGCAAAAATCAGATACTGTTGAATCCCAGACTGATTTTGAAGCAAGGCTACTCACTTAAAAGGGGGTTATACAGTTTCATGACTGAATGGGTATTGGCAAAGATGCTTCTCAGACTCTCTACCTAGATCGAAGGACCATATATAAATAAGCTTTACAACCAGGGTTTTAGACTGTCCTTCTCACCACCGTGGGATTCTACGCGCACGTTTTAAATCTATGTTCCATAAGTGGACCAATCCGTGGTGCTGATTACCCTATGAATCCTTACTGACCGACTCGTCTCATCTCTTTTAGTGAGCAACAGAATACAGAGAAACACACACCAGTGGCTAGAAGGATGTCACTGTCTCTCTTTCAAATGGCAATCAAGGTACAATACAGCTTGCAATGTGACATGACCTGAAGAGCAGACCCCCAAGAGAAGGCATGGCGGGGACAAGGCAATGGATCATAGCTCGGATGCCTGGCTGTCAATCAGGATACAAAAGAAAGCCAGAGAAAGTGCTGTATTTATTGTTGTTGCCTCCGTGGGCTTTGCCTCCATCCAGTTTGACGTAGACTTCGTCTCCCGAGTCCAGGTGGAGCACTACACTGTTGCTGGCGTAGTCATAATTCTGGTCCGCATCCTGAGCAATGGCGCTGGCACGCACCTGCAAAGCACAACATGCCAAGAAGGAAGAGGGGTTCAGATCTCTGTCCTGTAAATCCCCCAAACCAGGGGTGGGCAAATGTGGCCCTTTTACAACCTGTGGACTTCAACTCCCAGAATTCCTGAGACAGCCAAGGTGGCTCAGGAATTCTGGGAGTTGAAGTCCACAGGTCATAAAGGGGTCATATTTGCCCACCCCTGCCCCAAACCATCATTGCACAGCCCCTCTTTTCTCTGTCACCAGGATTTTTATTTATAATAAAACCATAATAAAATCACCATAACATGGAGCCATAGAATTGCAATGGGATCGATGTTAGGGTTTGATATCTAAGGGAGCTCAGCTAACTATCTAACTGCTTCTGGTATGGCTGTGGTGAGATCATCCTAGGTGCCTTGAAATTTCCTGAGGGGACATTCTTGAACTATATGTGTTGTAGCTTCTTCCACTCCACCCCAGTGGCATTGCAGGCTCTCGAGCATTCCCCACTTAAAGGGCTTTGCCTTTCTAGCATGTCCTGTCCTGATTCTGTTCAGGTGGCTCCATGTCTTTTGGGGAGACTGCATTCCTGGAAGTGGTTTTGTTGGATTTGTGTGATCTGTTTGGTTGTGGCTATTGAAAGTTGTCCATCTTAATCACCCAAAGGTGCTTTTTCAAGTGGCAACTGGACTTCCTGGTTTTTCTTTGAAGGCATTTCGCTTCTCATCCAAGAAGTTTCTTCAGCTCCAGGAAGTCCAGTTGCCTCTTGAAAAAGCACCTTTGGGACAACCATGACCTGGATGACTGAGAATCTCCACAGACATTTAGCAGTGCACTTTTGGATGAACACCCTTCAAATGGTGTGGTAGTATGGAAGCATTTTAATCACCATTTCTTCATCTAGATTGTAAGACTGTGGTGTATTATTCTAAGTTGGTTTCCTAGATTTAAGCCTGGTGAGCGATAGAGAGTCTAATATTTTATGTATTAGAAGAGCTCTAGGAGCCAATGGCATATTTATTTTGCCATGGGCTCCTAGAGATGCCATTGGGATATCACTCGTTATATGCAAGTCCTGTTAAGTAAGCCCAGGGGTTCTTTTCTCCAGATGCCAATGATCAATAAGGCAGTGATATGTCCCAGCATGTCAAATTTAAAGGAAGCTCAAACAAAGCCTAAAGTGTTTGAACAACCCCCCCCCCAAATGCTTCCTAAGTTGAAAAAGAAGACAAAGTTCCAGAGCTACCCGTTTGCATCAAATTGCTTTATTCTGATCCTCCCTTGATATTAATCTCTACCTTTGTCTCCTGCTCACATCTATTTCATTTCCATCACAGCCTCCCCCCTCCTTTGACTCCTTTTTATTTTCCAGCCAACCGTTTCTTAAGTTTTGCTCCTTGTTCATTCCTATTAATAATCATCTCCATCATGCATACATATTCTTTTTTTTTCTCTTAATCAGCCTTCTGAAAAAGAACACCAAATGTGACAGTAGAAGACACACAATTTAACCTCTTCTCAGGGAAGATTTTTTTTTTCCACTTGTCCTTTTGCAACCCATCCTGGCTTTTTGTTAAAGTCTTCAATGACAAGAGATTCTCTAATTTCTCCAAGCCTTTTCTGTCTCACCTCCTTTCCCAAGATAGCTTTTTAAATCCCCTTTCCTACCTGTCTGCCTCTCCTCTTTCAGCACCATCATTTCTATCTACTACTCCATTATCTTTGGACTTTCCATCAGCTTTCCCAATTTTATCACTCAGTTAATCTGGTTTATTTTATTCTGGTAAGGTTTATTTTAAAGTTTTCTTGCCACTTTATCCAATCATCCTATTTTTGACAAAACCATAATAATGCAAAAGATGATACCCCACTTTTATGTACCTTTATGTACAACTTAGTTGTAGCTTTCACTCCTCTGAGCAAAGTTGGAGACAGATGTGCTTAGCTTTGTTTTGCTAATTCCAGGGCAACTCCTTAGTTAGCCTTTTGCTTCTTTAGTTTAAACTCTTACATTTCTTTTACAATTATACAAAATTCCAATACCATTGTAGCAGTAATAGGGTGAAAACACTTATCTTTTTAGCCTTTTCTATAACCAGCTTAATTGTGCATGAAATCAGTTGTTGGACTCCACATCCAATTGCTTTTTCTTGATCTTCTCTCTTGTGCCTTTTATTCTCCTCCTTTCTTTATAACGAGCTTCATCATTACTTTTCAGTCCCCCAAATTTCATTCTCTTCACCTCCCCGAGTGCATGTAAGCACACACCCACCATAACTAATCAATGGCTCAAGCCATTATGTGATGAATTATCTTTCCTCCCCCAAAAATTAATGCAATCTGCACCCCTAATTTCCATCATCCTGCAAAACCTAATCTAATTTAGTCTTCCTAATGCTAAAAGAAGCTATCATGAAAGTGTCATAGCACGTATCTGAATGGATTCACATAATAATCTCCAGAGGAGTCACATTTCTGTTGGGGCTAACCACATCTATATAGGACTCTGTGTTACCTAACACTTTGTGTGTGAGAGAGGGGGGGAGGGGAGAGAGAAAAGGAAAAATATGTGCCTTGATTTGTAGCAATTGCCTGGACAGGTCTATCTTGTTGTTGTTTTGACATTTTTGGAAGTTCTTGCCTTCTTCCTAGGGCTAAAACTGACTAGAACACCCAGTCTCCAAGTTTCTAGCCTAATGTCTTTAACCACTGTCCCAAACTGACTCTACTAATCATGGTCAGAAACAACTATAATTTATTAGTTGAATACAGCAGGGATTTTCCTTTTGCCTCCAGGCAACAGACAAACAGTGTATGCACAAACCTGAGTGTGAGATTTTGAGAATGAGTTTTATTTATTGGTTACACCACAATCTACACATACTCCCTACCCCGTGGGCTTTAGGGAGCTATCCATGGTACTGGAAAATAATTTGTGGGGACCTGCCAGCAAAACAAGTAAAGCCATAGAATAAACTACAGGTGTAGAGGTTTCTAGGAAAAGACTGAAAATGGTGGGAATATCTTTTTTCCTCATCCTCTATACTGAAAGGATTTGTGGGTTAAAAAAACAAGATGATGGCATTTTTCCATTTTTGGGTCAAAGAAACATGTGTACACACATGCAAAAATGTGTGTGTATTCTGTGGGTCTAATCTGTGTATACATACATGCAACACACACATACAAACAAACACACTCCATATCAAAATCTTACAGATAATAATCCAGGATATGATACTACACAAAAGGAGAAGATAGCGGCCATGGGAGAAAGAAATCTTATGACAATAGAAGTCAGATTGGTAAAGTTCATCAAGAAGCACTAAAATTGTTACAATCAGCATTTTTAGGGTCTCCCATGACTAAGAGATAATGTTTTATTTTAAAAAATATAAAACAGAGACTATTATGACGACATTAGCAGAGCCCTACTGGGCTATGTCAGAGACCATTCAACTAGTGCAACAATATTTTTATTCTTTGTTCATAATCTTAGCAACTACAGTGGAGAGGTATATTGCTCTCATACTATTTATCCAAATGGGCATGATGGTTAATATTTATTGATATCTGTATGCACCCTGATTTCACTGTAATTCCATTACAAAACTTGTGGCCATCAACACACAAATCCAGAAATTAATGTTTAAACCCACAAAAATATTAAAAATGTTCTAGGAAATCAATTCTTGGTAGGCCAAAAGAAGATACTGGCTGAGCTCAGGCTTTCAACTGAAGTGACAGTCCCTGGCATGGAGAGAAAATAATTACTTCCCTTTCCGCCTATAGCATACAATAATATAGAGAATGTCTTCCCCTTCCTCCCAAGTCTATGCTTTCTTTCCTTCAGTTCTATTCTGGAGTCCAAAAATTGGATTCAGGATAGAAAACTCATTAAAGAAAAGCCTGGCCTTGAATGATGAACTCCAGGCCAACATCATCATCATCATCATCATCATCATCATCATCATCATCATCATGCAATTAGAGCTTGACAAAGTCAAATTTAGTGTTTCTATCACAGAAAGGAATCCCAGAGAAAAAGAGAAGTAAACCTAAAATTCTAACAATCGGTAATAGTGGTTCCCTGTCTAATTTGGCTAGTGGCTATGTAATGTACAGAGCACAAGTTTATATAGTTGCATCACATGATAAAGGGTTACTTTACTTTATATCTAGATGTGTTTTTGTTTAACCAAAGCCGTATCAAACATTTGTATTTAATAAATAAGCAAATAAATACAATTTCAACATACTGGAGAAATATATGGGGCCTTTTCTAAAAAGAGCAACATTGGACTTCTGGGGAAGAAATGGTGAACTGAAAATGGCTCCTTTACAAATGGAGCTGAAAACTCGTTATGGAAGAGCCAGCAAGCAGACCAAGCTCTTTGAAAGTCCTGTTCAAACAAGAAGATGACTTGGATCACTCACAATTCTACAGACAGTTCCTCCTCATGAGGACATTGTGGGACAGAAGCTGTAGGTGCTCTTAAGAAGTTGTGGGTTTTTAAGAACACATTGGACAACTATTTGTCTGAAATGGTGTAGGGTTTCCTGCTTGAGCAAGGGTTGGACTAGAAGACCTCCAAGTTCTTTTCCAACTCTGATATTCTTTTATTCTGACAGATGTCTCCCATGGCTTTAGAGCTCTTGGAGACAACAGAACACCATCTCCACCCAAATTGTGGTCAGAGTCTTAATGGACCCTGGGTTACATATTTCCTTTCTAATCATTTTTGGAATTGATTATTCATTGTTTTTCATATATTAGGAATCTTTGTAACGACAAGTTTTCATAACACTAGGTGAATTTCTTTCAGTCCTTAGTGAAAGCTTTAAATGCAAGTTTCAGGACTTTAAAAAAAAAACAGCATGAGTGTGATTAAAACTTTGATTTTTGGAAAGTGAAGAACTGACTAAGGATCCAGATGGATTTGGAAGGATTTCTTTTGAAATTAAATATAACAATGAATATTGCATCCAATTTTCCACAATGTAAAAAAGATGTTGAGACTCTAGAAAGAGTGCAGAGAAGAGCAACAAAGATGATTAGGGGACTCAAGGATAAAACATATAAAGAACGGTTGCTGGAACTGGATATGTCTAGTCTTATGAAAAGAAGGACTAGGGGAGACATGATAGCAGTGTTCCTATATCTCAGGGGCTGCCAAAAAGAAGAGGGAGTCAAACTATTCTCCAAAACACCTGAGGATAGAACAAGAAGCAATGGGTGGAAACTAATCAAGGAGAGAAGCAACTTAGAACTAAGGAGAAATTTCCTTACAGTTAGAACAATTAATCAGTGGAACAACTTGCCTCCAGAAGTTGTGAATGTTTCAACACTGGACGTTTTAAAGAAGAGATTAGATAATCATTTGTCTGAAGTGGTGTAGGGTTTCCTGCCTAAGCAGGGGGTTGGACTAGAAGACCTCCAAGGTCCCTTCCAACTGTTATTCTATTCTATTCTAATCCTTCCTATGGGGAATTGCTGTTGTTTTCAATTCTAACACACACACAAAAGAATGGACATTGAAGGTTGGAACTGAAGATTACATTTAAAGGAAAAGAACACTTAAATTTGATTTACTAATGCCCAGCAAAACAAGATTATTTAACATTGGAGGATATTTGTGAACAATGGAACAAAAAGTTCATTTTAAGAGTGTCTGCCACTATAGATAGATTATAATGGAAGATGATATGGAAGAACTATTTTTGAAGGTAGATTTAAAAATGACAGACTACAAGAAATATATGAAAAGTTTCTACACAGGATAAGCAAATGAAACAAACTAATGTCATAGTAATTAAAAGGGAGATATACAAATAACAAACCAAAAGGATAACTTTTCCATATTGGATTTACCAAAAAGACTTGTTAAATTTTTAAAGAATTTTATGAGATGTATAAAGAAAAAAATTAAAAGAAATAAAATTCAAGGATATTATTTGAAGTTATTAAATATTATGTTCTTTAAAATTAAAAGGAAGGAATTATAGTTGGTTTATTTGCTCAAGGTTAAAATAGATATGTTGGTCTCTCTGGTACTCTTCAGTCGTCTTTTGCTGACATCAGAACTGAACAAAAAAGCTTTAAGGGTTTGTTTATGAGATATTGGAGAAGAGATAATTTGTGGTATTTTAAGAGAAGGTGGTAAGTTGTTAACATTGTTTATACTGTGATGAAGGGGGAATAATTTCTTTATATATTTATTTTCTTTTTCTTCACTATATATTCCTATTTTTTTCTTTTAATTCTATTTTTTTCTGCACTTCCTAATTTTTCTTTTTAATTCTTTTTGTTTTTCAGTTTGCATCTTTAGTTGTAATTATTGTACATGATAAAAGCGACAGAATCAGCCTGTCTCTCCACACATTATTCACCTGCACTCTTCTACAAACAGTAGTAAATGAGCCATCCATCACACTCTCTCAATTCAGCATTCTCACAGGGTTGCTGTAATGGAAGTAAAATGGAGAAACCTGTGTACTATAAGTTGCCTTGAATTACAAGAGAAAAGGCAGAATATTAAACAAATAGGGATTTGCCAACATCCCAAGATGTGGGTTTTTTTCACAACTAGGGACATGGCATAACAGAGCCATAGACATAATCATAGTTATCTTTTCAGGAACCATAAATATTACTATGTTTACATTACCATATTACTCCTAAATGTTACTACTAGAATAAGATATATCCATTAATGAATGGCTATATTTGGGGGGCAAATGTAACATCTGCTCCAGACTTTGCTGATTCTTAACTGGATATATAACTGCCTGTTAGATAAAAAAAATTGTATCTCAGGTGGCATCACGAAATATCTCACCTCCCTTCCAATCCCCACTCCCCAATCCTGCTCTCTTGCTTGTTATTGCATGCATGTCATGGATAATAAATCATAAAGTCATTGATCAAACATCCCTAAGTCTTAAGTGCCACATATTGGTAGAAAGGATTCTCTGCTAAAGGTTTTTTCCCTTCCCTGATATGAGTATGACTGCATCCCTAACTTAGTGGTAAGACCTGAACGAGCAAAGGTCTCTGTGAAAGAGCCTAAATGACTTTTTCCACTGATGAGTTCAACTGTTTTCCCTCCAGTCTCCAGTCAGCAGAAATGACATCAGCTTCAGGGTTTCAGTTGTCAGTTCCTATCCTCTATTAATGTCTCTGACTTCTCTCCAAGGTAAAGTGTGACAAAGCCTTACAGATTTTGCATATCTCGATCCTATCCTTGGACAGTGTTTGCAATGGGGGAAAGAGTACTTCATCATCGATTTGGTTAAGCCTGATTCATCATTGGGCTACAGACAAGATGAAGGCAGTGACTGCAGAATACTTCAGGGGGATAAAAGATGTTTGCCAGGGTGCGTTTGCGCCTCAGTTAGGTGCAAACAGAGAACAATCTTTTTCTCTAAATTCACAAATCTAAATGGCAGAAGTGGAAAGAGAGAGATGTGTTAATTATAATGCCATTATTTTAAAAAAAATCCTATGGTATAATGTTGGAAGAAACTTCAAATCTTTCCTAGTCCAAATCCTGATGAAGTAAGAAAGCCACTAGTACTACAATGCTCCCTCCCCCCTGCTTAAATCCCCTTAAATCTTTCTAAAATGAAGTCTCCTGGATAGGAAGGAAGTTCCTGGATAGTAAGTTAGGCACTTGCTCTCCTTGAACTGAAATTGTCCTGCCAGGTACCATCCCTCATTCCATTGGAAGGAGATCCTGACATTTAAAGATAAGAAAGGAAACTTGGCCTTCAAAAATGACATTTAGAACAGGAAGAAGGGACTAAATTATTCACCTGAAGGAAGAACAGCTGCATAGACACACACACCGTAAAAATGATTTCCTGAAAATCTAACTACATGTGACATTTAACACACAAGTACAGCCTAACAAACATTCCCCTTTCTTTTCCCTTGAGAAAAAAAGACATTATGCGGAGAGGGAAACTTGGCAATTACTAAAAAAGAATTTCAAAGGGTTTATTTTATTTTATTTTTAACCTGGAATTACCTAGCATGGATTGTCACAAGACTCTCCAAAATTCCTGAGTTCTGGAACTCCAGTCTTTCTTTAGTCGTATGGATAATGGTCCTTAGATCCCACACCACGTTGTACGTGTCAGTTCAGCCAGGGGCAAAGCTGTACAAAGTCAGTGAGCTGCAACCAGTTTTAAAATCTAAGAAAGGATGCTTTGGTCTCGGTAGACCTTATTAGCAAAAGATAATTCTCAGCTTAAAATGGAAGAGGAGAGCACACAGTACTTTAAAAAGGCATTTGTGGGGATAAAACTGCAAGACTGTGGGAGCATCTGTAAATAAAGTCACCTGTAGTTCAGAAGGGTAAATGAAGAAAGAAAGTTGGTCTTTCTTTTTCAATTGCCTTAATCTTCAAATTATGGGGAGCAACATTGTGAACGCTTAAAATCTGGGTTGACCTTCTAGTTCATTGGTGATTCGGAAGCTTCTTGAGTCAAAATCTCCCCATCAACAATGGCCAAATGTTCTACTTTTGGAATCCCAAGGAGATACCTCTAGACCAAGAGTCCTCACAGCCTTTTCCCAGATGCAAGCTAGCTTTTCAAGTATTGCAGGTTTCTTTTCTTTAATGTATTTGGGATGGGAAATGAGATTGAAAATAAGTTCTTCTGTGCTGTGTACCAAGAAGCTCCAAAGTGGATTTCATATTTCCACGTGGCTGAATTCCCCCCCCCCCTTTTTTTTTCCAAGTCAATTGGATCTAAGGTTCAAGCTAGAGCAGGGGTCTCTCCAACCTTGACAACTTGAAGACGTATGGACTTCAACTCCCAGAATTCCTCAGCCAGCGAAGCAATTCTGGGAATTGAAGTCCACACGTCTTCAAAGTTGCCAAGGTTGGAGATCCCTGGGCTAGAGCATCTGTCCTCGCATGCCTCCCTTTCAGCACGTGGTAACTCCACCCCGGAGCCACGCCCCAGCCCAACAGGTCTGCCTAGGGTCGCACCCACCTGGCCGTTCTTGCAGAGGTCTGCCCACATGCTGGTGCCGTCCCCGCCGCGCATGAGGATGTGGTAGGTGAAGAAGTAGATGCCGCGCACCTGGCAGGTGAACTTCCCCGTGCTGGGCTCGTAGTGGTTCCCCAAGTTGGTCACCACGTCGTCGAATTTGAGCACCTCGTAGCCCTCGTGGGGGCTCTTCAGGCCCACGTAGAAGGCGATCCTGGGGCCGCTGAAGACAGCGCTCAGGGCACCCGTTATCTCGCCTCCCGGCGGCGGGCTGCTACTGCCACTCACGCCCGACCCGGCTACTCCGACTGTAGTCGCTGCTCCGGGCGGTCCGATTCGGGACATCGATAGGCCCGGCAGTCCCGGCTTCCCCGAATCCCCCCTCTCTCCAGGGGGACCCCTCGGACCCGGAGGGCCCGGTTCCCCAGGAGGCCCCCTTGGCCCCGGCTTGCCCGGGCGCCCAGGATCGCCCTTGGGTCCCTGGAAGAAGGGCGGCAGGGGAGACGGCGGGTGGGCGCTCAGCTCCTGCAGGGCCTCCAGAGCGGCGGTGCTCCCGGGACGGCCGGAGGGTCCGGCGGCCACGCTGCTGGCGCTGTAGGGGTCGCAGATCATGCGGCAGGTGCCCATCATCTCGTAGTGAGCGCGGGTGGCGGAGGGCGCCTGCAGCAGGATGGGGATGGCGATGAGCAGGATGAGGCCCATGGCCAGGGCGAGCCCGACGGCGGCGACCAGACGCTTCCTCCTCTGCCAGAACCGGCCCACGAGCGCCAACAGGTCTTCCTCGTCAGGCGAGGGAATGGTGACTTCTTTGGACGGCGATTCTGCCTGCGGGGTGGGGAGAGGCAGAGAAAAGAAAAGCGGTCAGGGCCGGGCGAGAGAACTCTTACTTTCCAGCCCGGCTGCTCTTCATTCGACTCCCTGTAGAGCGGCAGAAGGAAAAACGAAAGAGGCGGCGGCGGTGCCGTCCATCCCTCCGGATGAGAGGAGAGCCCGGACGGGCTGACATAAAAACAGCCGAGCCGAAGCCAGCTCCCTCTTTCCCCCCCCCCCCCCCCCCCCCCCCCCCCCCCCCCCCCTCCTCTCTCCTCCTCCTCCTCCTCCTCTTCCTCTCCTCCTCCTCCTCTTCCTCCTCTCCTCCTCCTCCTCCTCCTCCTCCTCCTCTTCCTCCCCCCCTCCTCCTCCTTCCCCGGGGTTGCGGATCCAACTCACACAGGCGCTCCCCGGACCGGTCCCAGATCCAAGCGCGCTGCGCTCCAGTTCCAGCGGACTGGCCAGCTCTCCGGCAGGCAAAGCGGCGGAACGACGCTCCAGCTCGGCCGGTTCTTTAGATCCTCCTCCCTCTCCCCCACCCCCCTCCGCCACTTTGCACGGCAGCCAGAACACCACGTTCCTCCCCTCCCCTCCGCTTCTACAAGGAGCCAACCGAAAAGAGCCCCCTTGCCTCCTCCGCCTCGCTTTGCGCTCCTCCGGGTTCCCTCCGGGATCCCCCAGAAGTTCCCTCTACCCCCGGGAGAGGCTTCGTCCTCCCTTGACCGACGGCGAGACGCTCATCGTCGAGTGCTTAGCGCAGCTGACGCGCCTTTCCCGTCTCTCTCCCCCATTTCGCGCCTGCCTGTCAGAGCTGGCCCAGCCACCTTCGCGGGGCACGACTCCAGTCCCGGGGAGTCCCATGGGATGGGATGGAGGGCAGACACTCCAGAGGCGCTCCGGTCAGCCTTCCCTCGCCAAGAGAACGGGAGCGCCTGGGCTGCTTGTGGGAAAGGCTCCTTCCTTCCTTCCTTCCTTCCTTCCTTCCTTCCTTCCTTCCTTCCTTCCTTCCTTCCTTCCTTCCTTCCTTCGCCAGTCCGAGAACTTTGGGCTTTTTCTTCTCTTTCTCTGACCTCTCTGTTAAACTACCCCCCCCCCAACTTGCATCACCTCAACCGGTTCGCTCTCTTCCTGGCGCTCTCCCGTTCCCTCTTTCTCCGGGTACCAGATAGACGGGCGGGACTTGCAAGGAGCGCATCGTCCTAAGGTTGCTTTTCTCTGAACGTCTCTCCTGGATCTCGAGGCAGATTTGCTGGGGGGGGGCGGCTGTACTGGGGAGCTGCGAACCTGCCCTTTGTGCCCGCGCAACGTCTCTTCTTCGCTCTACCGACTTCGACGGAGCTTATTTCCGCCTAAACCCGAGTTTACTGGCTTATTTTAGCCTCGCCTGTTGCGCAAAAACGCAGCCGGTGTGGTCAGTCTGAAGCTAGGAGCGTCGCGCCAACCCAAGAAATTGATTAATCCCCCCCAAACCCCCGTAGAAGCCTAACGAGGAACACCGCCTATAATCCCACACGGCTTTACCTGTAACGAAGCTTCTCTGAATCCATTGCGGCATGCGTCTGTTAAAAAAAAAAAATCGCACCCTGAGTTAAAACCAAGCGCCAAAACAATTTCAGGACTTACCAGGACTGCAGTGCCTCTGACACACGGGGACCAAGAGAGTTGAGGGAGCTCCTTAGCCAAATCTTTCTCTCCATACACCTCTGGAATAACTAATGGTCTCTCCGCATGTTTAGCAGGCCACCCCCTCAGCAGAGCAACAAGGACCAGCGTGTTTTTGTTGTGGCATGGCTTGTTCTAAGCAAAAGCCAACTTTGTGCCACAAGTGAGAAGCATGCAGCTCTTTGGGGATCTGATAGATAGATAGATAGATAGATAGATAGATAGATAGATAGATAGATAGATAGATAGATAGACAGATAGATAGATGATAGATAGATAGATAGATATAGATAGATAGATAAATAGATGATAGATAGATAGATGATAGATAGATAGATAGATAGATAGATAGATAGATAGATAGATAGATAGATAGATAGATAGATAATATCAGGAGAAGGAAATAATAAGGATCATTTGATGGTGGAGAAGCTTAGTGCTGAAGGAAGAAGAGTATGTCCCTGTTCATTCCTCCACCCCTTGTTGCTTTGGGGAATTAAATTTATTTGCTCTCTGTATCATTGCTTCCCTCCTCCCATATGTGATTAATCAGCAGCAGGCAGTTTCATTTTGCAGCATATTTTTTACAGCTGCTGCAGCAGCAGCAGTTCAACTTATAATGCAATGCAATGACAGCAATTGCTGCCAAGGATCCTCCTGGCCGTCGGGTCGGTACTCTAAAGGTCTGGTTACAATCACTTGACTTCTCTACGTGGGTGAAACAGTTTAGATCCGAGGTGTGTCAAAGTGTTCTCTGGAATTCACAGGGGCAACTTCACAGGGGCAAATAGCCTCTTGCGGCTGTGCTGAAATTGTCATGTGAAGAAGAAGTGGCCTCATAGCATGTTTCTCCATATAATTGCATGCATCCAGTCATACAATCCTATTCCAGTGCAAATAAGTTGTATAGAAAAGTTTCATGTCTCCTCCAGCTTTATTTTTACCTTTTTTTATGATTTATCACTTTGTTGCTTGTACGGTATGTACACTGAGAGCTTATACATCTTGTGTGTCTAATCACACTTGTCCAGTAAAGAAAATTCTAGTCTAGTCTAGTCCAGTCCAGTCCAGTCCACTATGCTACACTACACTCTATTCTATTCCAGACTCTGTGGACCTATCTCTTCCTTATTAATATCATAGGATGTGGAATAATGTATACATTACTTTTAATCTAATTTTAATTTAAAAAGTTATGGGGAAAATAAAAGGAGGTGTGCTGAATACGTTTGCTGCCTTGAGTTACTTTTAAAAATAATGAAGTTGGGATACAAACAAGCAAAATTACATGCAAAGTGTAACATAAGAATCCACCACTTGTTCCATTCTCTTGAAGAAAGCTGTTTTACATCTGATCCTCAGGAATTTACTAGCTTTCCAACAGGAAGAGGAACCACATGGACAAGGGATGTCCTATCACTTGGAAATATGGGAACTTAATGATTTAGTAGTTAAATTATTCAAGTTCTTCATTTTATTTTAGGTATTTATGTGACCAGCTCTTTCACTGGAAAAGTGCCCAGAATAACTTGTAAAATCATAAAGTCAGTCTCTGCTCTTGGCTTACTATCTAAGAAAACATGATTCAAAAGGGGGGGGAGGAGAGATGGGTAGGGAAAAGAAAATAAGAAAACCAGTGGGTAATTTTATATAGGAATTATAAAATATTTGTAGTATTATGTGAGTCTGAGAATACCTTTCTAACAACACACAATCAATCCTTTTATCACAATAGCTGGAACAGAGACAAATCCATGGGAGACAACCTACAGCAGCCAAGAACTAGCCAAGATTGACCCTGCTGAGATTCCAAGAACACACAAGTTTGGACCTTGAAAATGTCAAAGTCCTGTGTCAAATGTCCAGTTGTGTCTGATGTTAGGAGGTGCTGAGCCTAAATCTGGAACTTTGTTAACTTTCACCTGAAAGGTTTGTTAGCCTTTCATCTCCGTTATTAAACTTCCCTCTTTTTATTATGTTATAAGGATAAACTATTAATTAGATTAGCATTGTATATGCTGGGTTTTTTTGGCTTTGCCAACATATTTAATATGTAAGGGCATTTAATACGACATATTTAATATTCAGAGAGCAGAGGAATCGAAACCTATTGAGTGAAGTGACCCTGATTCACAGAAACTGACTAGGCATGACAAGGCACAACCAGGCAGCAATGAGCAAACACCAGCATTTTTTCCCCGGCTTTGCTCCTTTGTATATTCAATCATAGCCAGTGCCTTGCAAAACAATTCTCCTGGGTATTTTCTCTACAATATCAAGGACTGAATATAAATGTCTCATCTGTCATTGCACACACCTCTCTCCAGGACTATAGTCTCCCTGGCTTTCCCTCGTCTCCAGGACAAGGGAACTCTTGGCTGTAGCATTTTCCAGTTGGAAAAAAATATGGTCGGGAGATTCAAAGAGACTTCAGGGAGATCCCAGCAGTAGCCTTCTTAGCGACCTCCCATTATTCTATACAGAGAAATGCAAGCGAAAGGTTCAAGCACCTGGAGAGGAAAACAGCACAGAAGCCTCTTTCTCAAGGGAAGAAACATCTGAAAAGTGGTGATTTCCACAGTATTAAACAGCCTTGAGTTGAAGATGAAGTTTACCTGATATGGTAAGAATACAGCTTACGTTCCTAATCAACAGTCAGCCAGAGAGAGGCACCCAGAAAGGCCTCCCTCCACCTTTTAATTAATTTGTAATATTCTTTTAATCATTCTTGTTCCTTGTAAGTTTTAACTTTTATATACTGTTTTTATGTTTTAATATCTTATTGTACACCACTCAGAGTGAGGGAGATGGGTGATTCCAATATGATAGCTAAATAGCTAGATAGCTAGATAACTAGATAGATAGATAGATAGATAGATAGATAGATAGATAGATAGATGATAGATTAGATAGATAGATAGATAGTTGATAGATAGATAGATGATAGATTAGATAGATAGATAGATAGTTGATAGATAGATAGATAGATAGATAGATAGATAGATAGATAGGCAGGCAGATCCGGAGAGATAGACAGACACACACAGAGAGAGACAGAGAGAGACAGAGAGACAGATAGAGAGATAGAGATAGATAATGATAATGATAGTACATAAATGATATATAGATAGATAAATAGAGGGAGGGAGGGAGGGAGGAATGAAGGGATGGATTAGCTAAATTGCCTGCATTTAAGATTTGTCAGGTTTCATGCCTTTAAAAAATCAAAACAGAATTCTAAATTAAGAGTAGCATTAAGAGGCATTCAAGTCTTTGAATCTCCTAGTTGATGATGAAGTTTCACAATTTCCTGTTTGTCTAAGAACTGGAAATCTTCAGTCAGATATACCCAGTGGTGGGATTCAGCCAGTTCGTACCACTTCGGGAGAACCGGTTGTTAACTTTCTGAGCAGTTTGGCAAACTGGTTGTTGGAAGAAATCATTAGGGCAGAGAACCGGTTGTTAAATTACTTGAATCCCACCACTGGATATACCTGTTCATCGATTAACTCCACCATCAACACAAACCAGATCAGATGACAAAAAGACATCTAATAATTTCGTAGCTGAATCAATTGTCATTTCCAAATGTATATAGCAATATTGCATTGTGATACAATGGCTACATTAAGTCATTTCATCACAAGTCATAGCATCTTCTGGTATCAAGAGTCATGGTGGTGCAGTGGTTAGAATGCAGTATCGCAAGCTAATTCTGCCAACTGCCAGCAGTTCGAATCCTTCTGAGGTCGATAAAATGAGGCAATACAGAGGCAATATGCTGACTCTGTAAACTGCTTAGAGAGGGCTAAACAGCATTATGAAGCGGTATATAAGTGTAAGTGTTATTGCTATCAACTTGTCATCATTGTGCTGATAAAACTGTAATGAAGACAAGCTTTAGATCATCTTATTGATGACTGGACTATGCTACAAAGTCACAAAAAAGCTTGTCTAGTCAGGAAGAGCGCTATTAAATCAAAGTCTTTGAATGCTCAAATTCTAGGTGCAATCATGACATTTTGAAACAAGATTCCTCACATTCTGCTTAAACAACATTTAGTCAAATCTCTTTTTGATGTGTCTGCCTGAGCTGCCTATGACCCACTCTTAGACAATCCTGAAAAATGGAAACAATTGATTTGCCAGATGTGAAGGGAGCAGGGGATGATGGATGGTGATGATGGGAGCACAGTTCCATTTGTCCCCATTTTTGTGCTGAAAAGAAATCAATCTGCTAATTGTTTTGATTTTTTTTTAACGATTCTAAAGGATTCCTTCTAATCAAAGGAAAGCAAAATGCCTGAAGTTTAGAGCTGGATATAAACAGCATCCAAATCCATATTTAGTTCAAGCAGAACCCTGATACAATAGAAGTTCCTTGAAAAAATAGCAGTTTCTTTTCTTATTTCTGTTAAGAGTTTCTTGCTTTGATTATCCCAATAATTTGCTGTATGAAAGTTAGCTTATATTCTGTAAAGGCATAATGTCCCCAACCCCACTTTTTATGGGTATCTGTGAACAAAAACACATTGTCTTTATTTTCCTAGTAGCACAAAAAGACTTGTTTGCAAAGGGGTTCTGGGTTCCTATTATGTCATCCTGTCCGTGTTTCCTTGGCCAATATGAAAAATTATATTCCAAGGGTTTGCTTCCAAATAATCATACATAAAATTACATTCTTCCTGAATTCCCAGGCTACAATCAGAGCACAGACAAAACCATAAAATACCAAGAAGTCCTTCTCACAGAAAATCTGCCACGACAAAGGATTGCATTAATAACAGAATGCAGTCAAAAGATCAAGGTAACAATTAAGCGGAGATGCAAAAGAAGATTTTGGGATCCTCTGAGGGCCAGAGCACACTGCATGATTTTGGAGAGAGTGTCATGGGTA